TTTATTTATTTATTTATTTATTTATTTATTTATTTATTTAATCAGTTTAAATAGCCACCCAACCCACAAATTGTGACTCTGGGTGGCTAACATAGGATTAAAACCAATACCAAACTGCAAAAATAAAATAGCAAAAAACAAGAAGACTTGATGCAGTTGAGGCCAGCTCACAATCATTCAGCCAAAAACCATTTCGGATGGGCTCAACCACTGCCCTGACCTAGTGCCCGGGGAGAAGCCAGTCTTTGAGGCCTTATGGAAGGCCAGCAAGGTTGGAGTCATCTGAATCTTGGGGAGTGGGGTAAGCTGTTCCAGAGGGAAGACATCACAATAGAAACCAAAGCTGGGGCTCACAAGTGGAGGAGTACTGAGGACAGCAAGGCAGATGGTGGTGGGTTCAGGAAAATGACAACCAAGAGGAGAGATAGAAAGGAGTGAAGTGAGATTCCTCCAGAGTGGAAGTCTTGGGGGTAGGTGAGAGCTTTTGTGGAATGAAGTTTGTTGTCAATAAACTTGACATGTATCAGACTAAAGAGGTCAGGCAGTTGAAAATCTTAACAGGACAGTTGTGACTAAGTGATTGAAGTGAGCAAACTTCAGTCATGTGGGTGTGGTTGCCATTTTGAATTTTTTGATGCCCCCCCATGGACACCCCAGAAAGGGGGCAGAGTGGCAAGAGGAAAGATGCTGTTTGACTATTTTCTTAAGTGAAAAACAAATGCTGAGGCAAAGTTTAGTTAAAACCACAAGGTGAGCTTCTGACCTTAAATAGGAGGTTCCATATTTACAAGGGGGGGACAAGAGTTGTATTTGGCCTTTGATTTTCTTCTCCCCAAAAGCAGAGGGGGTCAGGACAAAGAAGGTGAAGTGGCCAAGTCCAAAACTTGGTTCAATTATGTCAAGATTAAATTAAATGTCAATATAATAAAGGTGTTCTAGAGGCTACTCCTACTTGTTTGTGTGAGGGGGTTGTGAGGGGCTGCACATTCCTCATTTAGATAAAATCACTAGAGGTGCTTCTTTAAATCTGAGGTACTTATTTTTTTTCCACCCATGACCTATCCATCTTACTTTAAGGGTACTACCTGCCCTTTTTTCAGGCATAGCTTGACATTTTTTTCATTCAGTTTTCATTAATCTTTTTAAAGAAGCCTGCTGACCACAGTCACCTTTTTTTGCAAGCAAACAGGATTCTTTTCCCCAAACCTTTTTCTGTAATGGAGATGGCTTGGACCAAAACAACCTCCATGGTGAATGGAATGCCCATTTTCCATCTTTATGCATTCTGCGTAGCACTGCTTCTTAAACTATTTTCCACAGGACACTAATGTTCCCCAACAACTTGAAAACTTTTGATTCCAGGATATATACTGTATATATATTTTGGTAGATTTAGGATCCGTTCCATTTCCTTAGCCATATCCCTTTCCTATCCACAAATAAAGGGGCAAATGTCTTTCAGAGACATTGAAATCTGACTATTCATTACTAGAAGACATTTGGATGGTAGTCCACAGAGAAAATGAGATTTTAAGTGAAAAGTCACTGAAGGTATTCTCTGTAAAAGCTGATTTTCAGCATTCACTGTAATCAAAGCAAAATATCAAAGTAGACAGAATGTTCTGCCATCTTTAAGACTTGAATAAATCTTTCATGCCACATATTGATGAAATAACATTGTTGGATGCAAGGTCATAAAACATGCTTTATTTCAACACTCCCTTTACTTTTCTTCTTTTTGTAGAAACAGTCATAAGTGTTCCTCATTAAAATTGTATAGATTGTCTCATATCCCTTGGACATTAAAAGTTTAAGGAAAACTCCTACAGATGATGGACATAGTTTTCTGTAGGAAGGTATGGCTTTCTGCTGCAATCCAGAGTTTGAAAACTGCAGTGGATGATTAATTAATGGTTTGTAAAGCAGGGTGACTGTAACTTTCCTGGCAGGTTTCAGCAGCCCGGAATATGCCCCATTTCTTGCGGTATCTGACGGCCGAGGTGCACAGACTGGTGCCTGGAGGACAGGTGTTATGGTATGACAGCGTCCTGCGGAGTGGAGAACTCAAATGGCAGAATGAGCTTAATGAACAAAACAAGTGAGTCCTATATTAACTTCCTTTCCCACCTATCTCTCTCTCCAAAAAGCTGAGAAGAGGAAGAAGAGCAGGGCATCCAAGCTAAAGGTGCTTTGTGCAGACCTACTGAACTTCCATCCCAATGTAGCATCTTCTTGAAATACTAGTCGTGTGATTTTGGTGGCAAAGTAATGAAGTAAATAAATGCATCACATGCCATGGAATGTGGTGGCATTTATAAGAGTCAATAAGTGGCTTGCTAGCGTGGAACAGCTTTGGGCAAATTTCCATCTTCTGACCAAGCACATTGGAAAGATTGTTGTGAAAATGGAGCAGGAGAGTCATTTGGTTCTTTGAAAGGAGATCAAAATATGAATGTCAATGCAAGCCCTAAATTAAATCCTGTGCTTAGCAAGGACTCAGTAAGCTAGTGAGAGTCACAGGAGGCTGTCCTAACCTTTGGGGCTCAGTGCATGATGGTCTGCCTTGCCAAAGCCTGTGGGGGGCAGGGGGGCAGTCATATCCATTTGGGAATGAACAGAACATCATGGAAAGAGCGTTTTTTTGCCTTGGCCATCCTTGTGTCAGTGGAGAAATTAGCTGGCTTGGGCTACAAGGAGTCATGAAGGTGGAAAATACATTCCCAGTCTGATGCCCTCCAGATTGGTTTGGATTGCAATTCATAGAAAGTGGCTATTCAAGCTGGATTTGTAGACAAATCTGGAAGGCTTCAGAATGGAGAAGGTTAAGCTGGAGCCCTCTGGGTCCATTACATGAAAAGACATGGGGAGATTTCCTGGAGATCCCTAAATATCTCTGTGCCTTGGTTGGCAAGGCCTGGCTCCTGATTTGCCTCCCTTGCTTGTGCATGTGCAGAGTTTATTTTGATGCTTGTGATGGATTCTTCACTAATTATAACTGGAAAGAGGAACACCTGTTGCGAACTAGAGAGGTGGCCAATAGTCGTCGGACTGACATCTACGTCGGGGTTGATGTGTTTGGACGAGGTGCTGTTGTGAGCAGTGGCTTTGATACTAAGAAGGTAGGCTGGCAGGCACCCTGACCAATGGGAGGCTGCCTTGGAGGCGTTGGCTGTGCCAGGCAGGGTGGATCATCCTTCAGTGTTCATTCTGGTTCTCTTTGGGGACCACCAAGAATCAAAAGCCTGTCCCATTTGGCCTAAATGGCCCTGTTAGGCCAGCCTGTCTCTCAGTCAAGGTAAATTGATCCTTGGGGGAGGAAGCTGTTTCCTCAGAAGTCCCAAACCAGCCATGTCCTAGAACCACGCACTAGAAAAATGGTGATTCTTGTATACCTTGTATCTCTTTAGTCACTGCAGATGATTCGGGAACATGGTCTTTCGGTGGCCATCTTTGCGCCTGGCTGGGTATATGAGCATCTGGGCCCAAGAAACTTCCTGGACAATGAGGATAAGTAAGGTCTATGTGGGGAAGGACTTTCTTCTACAGATGGTCTGCAGGTGCCCCCATTGAGGAGATCATCTCTTTGGGGCTCTGGACTGAGCAGGCCTGACAGGAGAAGACTTTCAAGCCCATGGAGATGTAGCCATTTCTCTCTTTGCCACCTCAGTCAGGTTCTTGATGAGATGGCTCTGGGCTTGTGAGATAATTCAAAGACTGTTCCTATGACACCCTCTTTCCTCCTTGTAGATTCTGGGCCCTGCTGACACCACTACTGTCTATTCACCGCATTGTCTCCCTCCCCTTGTGCACCAGCTTCAATCTGGGTGTGGGTAACCGACACTTCAATCATGGGCAGGTAGGAGCACATGGGAAAGACACTTTGGGGAGGATGAATGGAGCTGGGGTCAAGTGGGCAGGAGGTAGCACTGCCAGTCCCTCTCCTGGTGTCTCAACCCTCTCAGGACCAGAGTTAACCTTTCATGACTGTCCTGCTGATTAGCTGGCTCCTACAGAGATCAAGGATCAACACTGTTTTCCAGATGTCACAGAGGACTGTAGATTTCCTGCAAAGGATTTCTGTGACTAGCTGTTGGTTTTGAATATTCACCTATTTCTAGGTGAAGGACCAGAGACTCTCTTTTTTCTAGGACCCTTCCTTGCAGACTTATTTTCCAACAGCTTTCCTTGAGCTCCGTGAGACTTGGAGTGTAGCCAAGGACTGCAGCCTCTGTGTCTTAGAATTTCAGTGTATTTCACGTGCAGAAAGCAAGTGGGACAGCCTTTGGAATAGCCAGTTTTCCCCCTTTGAGAATGATGGGTGGCAAAGCACTTGCTGATCAGGAAGGAAACTCTACATTTTCATTAATTATGGAAAGAAGAGGCTTATTTATTACAAAATGAAAGGGTGTGTATAGACTGCTTTCGGGAGGGGAAAGGGCATTTGTATTGAAAGCTGAATCTTCAAAGGCTACTAAAATACAAGATGCAAATGTTTGGGGCTCCCAGTGCGAATGGCCTTTGTGTGTGCAAGAGCAACATGCTTTGGAAGTCAACTTATCCCAACTCAGCCTGCAGTGGCTCTTTTCTCTGCTCAGGAGACAAGGACAGAGCCATGGTACAACCTAAGTGCTCAAGAGATCCAGCCAATATATGGCAGCCACAGAATGGCAGACAATGGCTGGGTGCAGACCCGGTGCTACCTGCAAGAAGCCTGGTGTGGGGGCAGCTCCTTGCTGCTGGAAGGGGCCATCCTTCCCAAGGCTCATCACGTCACAGCAAGGTGAGTGCTGGCTGAGACGAAAGTCCTAGGTAGCATATATACCTTTCTTGAACCAGATACCTTCCAGTTGTAATTGCACAATCAGCCTCCCAAGCCCTTCTCTCTTTTTCCGGGCACACCTTCCTCCTACAAGATCCCCTTAAGCTCAGTGATGCAGCTCTAGGAAAGAGTCATCCCATCTCAACTTTCTCTTCAATGCAATTACTGAGTGCAAGAAAAAAGATACAAAAAGTGTGGAAAGAGTTATAAGTAGGAAAAAAGAAAAGAAAAAAATATAAAAATATATAAAACAAACGTACTCTCTCTCCTCCCTCATTAAAATTACATCTTAAGTCCCTTCTTCCCATATTCAACTCTTTTTAATCAGCAAATCCATAAATCACCAATTACTTTTTTCCACTTTCAGCAAAAAGTCCATAAGAGGTTTCCAATCTTTAATAAAAGTACTTGTTGTCTTATCCCTGATCAAACAGGTCAATCTTGATCCATGCCTCTCTTCCTTATAGCCTTTCCCTGCTTTTTCTTCCCACCCTCTCAGTCAGGATCCCTGCAAACTCTCTTCAGGACCCATAACTATGCTCACCCCTTTTCTTTGCATTTTGTTCAGGCGTGTTAGCCTCGTTGGCTTCTTCTCCCACTCCAGCAGGTCAGTCTTCATCTCATTTCCTAAGTTTCTCCTTTATCTTGCAGTGAAGAAATAAGCCATCCCACCTTTGCTGGTCTCTTAGCCCTAAATCAAGACCTCCATTTCTCAGGGCTCTCTGTAAGCTGCTGAGATATGTCTAGCTTTATTCTGCTAAATCAATCCACAATAAAGTCATTTTTTTGTCATGCAGCAAAGCAGAAGCTTAAGTGCTCAAGTGTGGTGTGGTGAGATCTGCATAGGGAAGCCAAGGTGGATGAAAAACCAATTTCCATCATCCAATCTGCCAATAGTTATGATTGTGGCTTGGGGAAGAGATGCCATCTGCACAGCCCTTACTGAGAGAAAGGAATGTCAAAGGCAGCATCTTTTTGCCTGCCATCCTCTTTCTAGGCTCTAAGCAATGATACATGTCCATCTCTGAAATCAGAGTTTCTGCATTAGGTTATGACCAGTGATTCCAGAAGCCTTTATGGTGCTGAGCACCTGTGGGGAAGACCAGATCCCCACCTGTTGTCTGTGCTCCTTCCTTCAGAGCCCCAAAGGCCTGCTTTCATTCTCTCTCTCTCTCTCTCCCTCCCTCCCTCCCTCCCTCCCTCCCCCTCTCCCTCTCTCTCCCTCTCTCTCCCTCTCTCATGTGAAGGCTGACTGTGCAGGACTGTAAAACACATGGTACGCCTATGCCATTAAACAGGCTCCCCACTTTGGGCTTCCTTTTTGCAGTCTTAGAGGTGGCGATGGAGAGAGTGAGATCAGGGATGCTAGTTAAGCAGGATCCTCCAGGGACGCCTTGTCCTTTTTCCAAACCACAGCATCAGGTTCTTCAGGGCAGAAACACGATGAACCATGTAGGCTGAGTGCGATAACCAAGGGGCTCCTGAATTGTTTTTCTGACTATACATGGCCTCTTGCTGAAGCAGCTTTTAATGTATATCGCTTAGAATATGTATCTCTTGTACGTCATCAAGATGTTTAAATGCCCTGTCAATCTTACCTGTGTCCACACACTTCCTTAGAGTACAGAATAAGGGAGTTGTGCTTCCCAATTTCAACCTTTAGGTTTCTCTTTGTCTCCAACTAACCAAGTCTGCTTTAAGTTGGCAAAGTTGTCTGGCGGCTGCTTACAGGCAAATTCTATAGCAGTAGCAGCAGTACAGCTGAGGGCAGGATATAAATGCTGTTATTGCTATTGGTGTTGTTAAGATTAACAGCATTTATATCCTGCCCATGAGTGTCCACAGGCTGCTGTTGCTTTCATCAAAACGACGAAAAGCAACACCGTGCTGTTGTGCCACCAGCTCTGCCCCTTCAGGGCATGCGTGCAGCATTCCAGCGCGGTTACAGAAAGGGCAGAGCTTGCGTTTTGATGGTGTGGGGCTGCCTCTGTCAGACTGACATGTCCGAATCCCCTGCCCCTCCTGTAGCTGCTGATCCCATCGTTCCTTTGAGAGCAAAGGGAACCCTGCAAAGGGAGGAGAGGACACTTCTTGTTTTATCCCCACAACTAGAAAAGGTGAAGAATTCAGACTTTTCACCCTTTCTAAGGCTAAGGAAGAGACAGGCAATCATAGAAGAGCTGGACTCCCCTGGGGCCTGTTGTCTGGACTCCTCCCTGTCGGATGTGTCCATCTGGCTGGTGGGGCTGCCTCAAGTGTGCCACAGTTCTGGCTCTCCATCAGAAGTCTGGTAATCAGAACTGGGGTGGCAGCAGCCAGTGGAAGCCGGGGGGCGGGGGCAGGGGGAGCAGTGGGACCAGTGGTTTGGAAGAGAGGGGAGAAAGCCACCTTCCCCATTGACTGTCTTCCCGTCAAAGCACGGGTGCACAAAGACGAAATTGGAACAGAAGTTTCTCCAGGCCTTCTGCGTGAAAGAGTCACGAGGAAAGCAGAGGAAAAACATGGGCCAGTGGTGCTGTGCCTGCTTGGCCCCAAATTCCCATCTTCACTTGCTGTCACCGAACCATCAAAAAGCATCTCTGTTAGCATCTCAGATATGACTTTGGTACTGAGCCAGCGTGCATCCCAGCTAAAAGAAACCCTAGAATGTCAAATACTTGGGAGAAGTTTGTAAAGATTTTTCTTCGCTAACGTAGCAAATTTTGAAGGGCCCCTGGTCACAAAGAACAAACAGATGGAGCAACACCGGGAGACATGTTTTCTCATTGTTTGGCTCATGCATTTTTAGAATCCGTTGAGAAACATTCTTTTGCAGTGTTGTCTGGGCTGCCCTTAATCCCTTAAATTGGCTGTACTCTTGGTCCTAACCAAGCCTACAGGCCACCTGTTGAGAAAGAGTATCTTGGGCTGTCTTGAATTTGCAAGGCCAGAGAGGCTGGGTGTGTTTCTGTGGAGCGTCTCCGTTCTGGCTGCTGCAGTGTTTTCTATGAGGATGTCTCATTCCTGGTCAGTCCCTCAAAGAGCCTTTTGGTCCAGGATGCCTCAGACGTAGATTCTGCTCTTGCTCAGAAGAGAGGATAAAGCTGGACTGGTTTTCGCTCTCTGGGAATCCCAGGATAGATTTGATCACAGAGGGTGGGGCTGAAGTGAAAAATGAAAACAAGAAAAATAAGAAACATGAAGGTAAACTGTTTGTTTGTGCCAGGGCTGGTCTGATTATATGCAGGGAAATTGGCATGGCTGTGTTTGATCTGGCCAGGAATAGATTAACACCCTCATAAAGCACAGCAACAGCAGCAGTTTCCAAAAGGCCCCTGTAATCCAGGGGAGGTGGGAAGGACACACACCCGACTCCTGGAGGAGGGAGGGGTGGAGAGAGAGAGAGAGAGAGTTGGAAGGGAATGAAAAGCAGCTGTCCAGTGAAAATTGGGATGGACACATTTTAGGGGAGAAAAAAATGAGGATGTTTTAATTAAAACTCCGGAAGGTACTGAGTGGAACTAATCAAGCAGGAACAAATTTGAGAGGGCTGTCAAAGCCAAGTAGTAAAGCAAACTAGACAGGGAGTCAATATTTAAGTGATCAGGTTAGATCCTGATATAACTAAAATAAGGCCCATGCTGTATGGTGCATTCATTACAGAGGCCTTTTTAATCTCAGCTTTGCGCTCCAGGATGTCGTCTGGGCAACTGAAAGGTCCACCGGAAGGCGTAAACTCTTGGCCCCCATCCTTTGCTCATCGAAGCCCTGTGTGAGGTGGGCTGGTGGGAGGGAGTTTGTGGGCCTGGCCTTCCAGACCCTTTTCATTTGCAATGGTGCTGTGCTGCCTCATGGTCCAGAGTTGGCAGTGACGGTGTATTCTCTGTCTCTTTCCCTGTCTGGGGCTTGGGGGTTACCAGGCTATTCTCATTCCAGATTCCAGCACCCTCTCGATTATTCCTGGTCTTGATTTTTAAACACGATTCCCATTTCCAAGCCATGGCTCTTGCACCATTGCTCAGCACCCGAGAATCATTGCCACATCCTGACAGGGACACATCTCCGTTACCAGGTAAGGCTTTTTGCCTTAAGGGCTTCTTGCATGGTTGCCTGCAGCGGCCTTGAAGCGGGCAAGCAGATGCCACTCGGAGGTTTACTGGCTCAGTTCTCTTTCCCCTGCTCTGTTGGATATTTCTTCCTTGGCAGAACCAACACAACATATGCCCTCCCTGCTTCACACACCTCCTCCTGGCCTCGCCCAGTTACTCAGAGGATGTGAACAGCGTGGGGAACATGGCTGGCAAAGTCGGTGAGTGAATGATAAATGACAGAATGCTGTCTCTGCTCATTTTCTCCACTGAAACTTTTTCATATGTGGCAACAGCTACCTATTGTTACTTCTCTCCCCTTGTTCTGTGGCATTATATCACATGCTCCTCTGTAGAGAGGAGCCCGTTGTCGTCTTTACCCATTCAGCACCATGCTCATGAATGATGGTGGTGCAACATAAATGAAAGAAGGATCAAAAGGCTAGCATTTGGGCCTTTTGTTACAGAAGCATTGTGGACAGTGTGGGGTGGGCTTAGCAATGCCATGCCAGCCAACTAAGTCTCGCCTTTCCCCTTCCTATCCTCTTGCTAGATGCTATGCATTGGAGCTCCAGAATGGCTTCCTGGATGAACTCTCTCTCACTGTGTTCCGTCGTCAGCCTAGACAGGAGGAGATGCCCTTTACTTGCCTCCTAGGCAAGATCTGGGTAAGAAAATTGTAGAAGGCATAGGGAAGTGCCAGGAAAATTTGCAAGGGGGGGTGGGGGTGGGTCAGCTACTTTCCATTAGTTCCCCAATATGGCTAGGAAGATACTCCATGATCTGGGCCCTTGTTCTTTAAATCAGCAGTTGCTTCAGAGCAGGCTTTTGCTCCTCATGAGAATGGCTGAAAAGTTGCCATCCCAACTGGTCTGTCCAGTACACTCCTTCCTCCTTGGTCTTCATACCAAGGTTATTCTCTCTTATGTTTGCTCAGCCAGGTGCTCTTGAGACCTTAATCCCTTCATTTGACAACCAGTCAGTACAAAACATCTAACCATGCCAGGTCCTGCAAGCACTTACCCTGAGGAGAGGCCCTCGGGGCAAGGAATGCTTGGTCCAAGCTGCCTAAGTGCCCCTCTTTACCCCTTCATTTCATCATTGCTTTCCATCCCTTTGGCATGAATCTGTCCCAGTTGCTTGGTGACCACCTCCTTCCCTTTTATAAGTGCCCTGTGTTTTTCCTTGTAGGTGCTGGACGCTGCTTCCCTGCGCTCACTGTTAGCTCCCAACGTTACCAGTTCCATGTTGCCTGTGGATGCTGCCCATATCCATTGGCACCAGGTTTCAGCTGAGCAGCTCTCCGTCAGTCTCACCTTGAGCTGGACTTATCCTCCCAGCAAGGCCACCTGCTTCCGCGTGCACTACCGGAGCGGGTCGTGTGTTGGAGGCTCTGAACCACCTCTTCTCTTGCTTGGGGAAGCGCACGTCTGCCTATACCGCGTGACTCAGCTAGCAGTGCCTACCCCTCATGCCATGGCCTCGTGCCACCTGGAATTCCTGGTGGAGCCAGTCCCTAACAATGGGAGCCACATCAGCCCTGCCATGTGGGGAAAATTCATCTTTGTGTACTCTAACCCAAAGCTACCCGAGAGTGCTGCCACAGTTTCCCCAGGCCCAAGACCCTAACGTAGCCTTAGTTTTTGGGTGAAGCTTCTGTCTTAAGAGCTGTGTTAGGAGGTATCCCTTTAATAAAGCCTCTTTGTTGCTTTCATTAGAGTTATTCTTTCTTTGCTCAAGACACAGTCCTGTTCTCCCACAGAACTGACATTCAGAAGCCAAAGATAATTGTCCAAGAGGCAAACATTTTAATATAGAAGTTTACAGATGCTAGAAAAGGCATATTTGGATATACACGGATCCTGTGTACTTGACAGGGAATAGAGTTGCCTAGAACAGATTTATTAATGGGCAGCATGGCCTTCAGACCTTACTTTTAAAATGTAAACATCCCTTATAAATGGTGATGTCATTAAGATAGAAACAGATGACAGTTGTCAGATCAGCTAATTCCAGTCAGATCATTTTAAGAAACGGAAAAGCATCAGCTGTCATCAACGGGGAGCTTTATACTCAATGAAATAGGAGCATGATAACTTTTAGAAGTCTAGTGATGAGGCCAGTGTCACAACTTTTGAAAACTGTGTGAGAAAGTTTCATTTTCTTAATAAATAACCAATAGAACAGTGTTTCTCATCCTCAGCAACTTTAAGATGGGGAGACTTCAACTCCCAGAATTCCCCAGCCAGCATGGGTTCTGCATTTCTGCATCATTGACCTAGAGGCCCTCAAATGTTGTGGCTCTCCCTCTCTACCCCTAGAAACCAATTTCCAGTAACTCTTCCCATCTCCACTGCTGTTGCCCTGCAAATAATGAGAGGGGGAGATGGCAGAGAGGAGGCATTCCTGGGCACTTCACTATGCATCTCTATACGTGGTAGTGTGTTGGCGTGGAGGGGGGGTGTCCTCTGGAGTTGGTGCACAATGCAGTATCCTTTGGCATGGAATCTGCTTGGGTGATCAATAGGTAGATCAACTGTCTTGCTCTTAGTGATGCATAGCAATTTGCAGCCCAGTACTGAATGCAGTTTTAAATGTGTAAAGGCTAAGTAGTACATTGTCAGACCTGTTACCTCTATGGGATTACTCCTATGGTTCCCTCAATATTAAGGTCAAATTCTGGATTTCCACTGTGGCCATTTTTACACTGAAGCAAAGCTGCTACCTTTTAAATTCTTCTTTGCATATTCAGTTATGTCATAACTGCGTTGTGCTTCCATGGCATTTGTTGCAGTTGCTGCAGCTATTAATAATGTTGCAGTAAAATTTCTGTCTTCTGATTTATCTTCTTTCTTAGATATTTGAAAAATAATTGTGCTTTCTCCCCCAGGATTATTAGGAAAGCATACAGAATCCAAAATCTAAAAATAGGTGCTCTTGAGACCTTAAT